TTTAAATCATATATTAGGCAATTCAAAACAGATTTTYACGGATGTATTTCGATGAGATGTTTCAGAAAGAGATGAAGATTTTAGTTATTCTCTTAGCAGCAAACAGTAGCTATTTTTACAACATCAGGGTACGTTGCAACGCGTGCAACCGTTATTTCTATCTTTACTGACTCAGTATCAATATCGTCTCTGGTTAAGATTCCGATTCATAGCTATAATTTTATTGGCAGCTAAATAACTCAACAGCTGAGGTTGTTTTTAGTGCTAGGTCCTAAAGGCAACTACGCCTCTAGTAGAACCAGTCTTCAGATTCCTTGTTAATCGGTTCCTAACCTGAGACAATGCAAATCGGTAGCGAGTTACAAAGTTCAAGCACAAAACAAACCAGATTTTTGTTTGCAGTCTTAGAATAGAAGTAGTATGCATGGAGTTTGGTTAACTCCGAATTATTAAGTGGAATAGCTGTAACTTCAGTCTTAGGCCATGGAACTTATGCGTAAAGTTTTATGTATATCTATTACATCCCAATGAATAATCTCATTGCTGTACGTGATATGAACCATTTTCAAGTTTTCACACGCTTGTCACAGTTGTAATCCACAACCGCAATCCCGCACGCACGAATGACGGAACTGAAAAACGTACAGGATGTTTAAAGATATATGATATGGAGATCTTTTTTCCGCGTTGCTAAATTCAGATATCAGACATGCATCGAACTTCATATATCTAATTATAATAACCAAGGGAGCATAAATAAGAGAGGGAAAGTTCTCAATAACGCGCGCGCCATGTTATTAAATTCACGGTTCGGCTGTTTTAAGTATCCATGAGTCATCAACTTGCGCGCGTGCGCACTTTCGTTTTTGGTTTTTAGTGATCAAAACATAAACGGAAAATAGCCCAAGCAGAAACTCACATGGCACGCGCGTTATTAAGAAGTTTCCCTCTCTTATTTATGCTCTCTTGAATTAACGCAGCTTTTGTCACTCCAACAGAAACATGGACTGCAGTCTGATCCTGTTTTCTAAATGACTTTGAGCTATGCAAGCCTCATTATAGCTCAGCTATGCAGATAATATAGAACAACATAACTCGATGTTGAATGGTCGCTTGGTTTGCGCAATATTGGTTTATTTTTATTMATAAAATGCTGAGTACATTGCAACTAAAATTCCGCGATAGTTTAGTACTTCTGTAGTTTCCATCCAGTGGTAAACCAAAAAGATTAGGTCTTAGGGTCTCTCAGCTTGAAAATGCACTCATGAAACAGCTATTTTATGGGTATATTTTTTGCACCTATTCTCTAGTCAAGATGTGAAAAAGATATCTTAGAAGAAAAACATCCATGCAGCGGAAGTCTTGTTTGGTGCAGCCATTTGGAAATTCAGTTACCAATGTCTGTTCAGTTTCCGTTGTTTTCTTCACACGGCTGGTAAATGTGCACGTATCTTTACTCTAAATATACATTAAGGACTAAAACTTGTATATTGACAATAATATGACACGACATAGCTCCAGCTTCATGAAATTGGCTGTTTAACTAACACAGCATACTTAGAGCTATAATGTAGCTATTCAGCATAGACGAATAGCAAAAAGAAGAATCRGTATTTACTTCATTKCATGTTAGCTRCTTAGTTATGTTATTAACAATATAWATAAAAAATRCRTTCAAGATCTYTTTCACTTTCCAAATATTATATTGGCCTGGAATGACCACTCAAGAGAGTCTGTCATACTCTCTTGGTGGTGCTAACAATCCATGCGAGAAGTGCTATTTGTGGCATATCGATGCGGGAATTTACTTTCCGCTCTAAAATTAACCTAGTTTTTATTAGATGTCTTTTAAGTCAAGGACGCAGGTTGTTTAGAAGATTAAGAGCAGCAAAACGGCTGGAGATACTTTAGTTCAGGAACGTGGTAGCGAGGAAAATGATGAAAGGGAATTAAGGAAATAGAGGGAACATAATGGAAAGACATACCTGATACAAGCCTTACAACAGTATCAAATGAAAAGAAGGTTTCTCATAAAGAAAAAAATAAAATAAAATGAATAAATAAAATAAAAATTAAATAAAATAAAAGCAAAAAAATAAAATCAGGAGACCTGGGCACTAGTGCCCATAAGCCCTTGCGCGCCCCAACCTTCTCTCTCTTTTACTTCTCGTCCAAGGTTTGTGTTAAGTCAAAATTATTATAGTTATAATCCAAGCCATCCAAGGCTTTTAATGAATTTTTCCTTCGATTTTATTTTGCAAAATGATAGCTTAGTTCTTTATCTTTGTGTTTATCAGATGGTGAAGAAGACAGACAAAAAGAAGGGGCGCTCTGCCATCAACGAAGTCGTCACTCGTGAATACACAGTAAACATCCATAAGCGAATCCATGGAGTGTAAGTTTTGTTTCTAATTTCTGTTTTCCGCTTATAATAAGTTTGTTTTCTTATGATATAGTTAGATCAATGACAGATATGATGTCTATGATTTATAAAACCTTTGGAATAGACCTTAAGAGTTGGAAGATCGATCTAAAGTCTAGTGAACTGTTGTTTCAGGACTTTAGGTGGTTTCTATAATTCTACTACGATTTCTCGTATTTTTTGCCTCRAACTAATTATGCTTTTGATCAAATAAGCCAGTCCAGTCCAGTCTGCTTTCTTAGATTAAGTAGCAATCTTAATCTTGCCAGGCTGTCATGGTGTAGTAACGATTAATGCAAGATGTGTAGATTAACTATTAAAGTGTGTGTTTTTGTTACAGTGGTTTTAAGTACCGTGCCCCTCGTGCCATTAAGGAGATCCGCAAGTTTGCAGAAAAAATGATGGGCACCCCTGATGTTCGTATTGACACTCGATTRAACAAGCACGTCTGGTCTAAAGGAATCAAGTAAGTCTCAGCTGTTTTACTTCTAGATGAATTATAGCATTTAGAGGTAAACAGTGTGGTAGTTTACATGGCTATGATATAAAGACTAATTTCATAGAGTAGATCTCACATGATTATGAAATGGTACAACACCCTCTCACAGTATGGAATTGATGTTACATGTATTGAATCAACGACAAGGTGTGAGAGCACTGCTTCTTCAAGTAAAATACCCAGGCATAATAGTAGTGTCATGGTACCACAATACCAATCTATGAGTATTTTTTGCAGGCATGTACATTCTACTATGAGATATATAACAGTGTTACTGCACGCTTGTTCATTCCATGGTCTTATTCAGACTTTTATCCTCTTTTCTTATCACTGTTGCTTGAGTTTTAAATACCTTAGGATGAAGACCAATGAAGTGATTAGTACCATTTACATGTCTGGCAGTGTTATATATAGTGATTATCACAYGTTAAGAGCTTGATATTACTTTTATTCACCAGTTTCTATCTGATATTGCAAACAAGCGAGTCTGYGAGCWAGTGAGCGATATCATATGGAAAATAAGTGAATAAAAACAATATCAGTCTCTTAGCAAGTAAAAATTTGTTTATTACACAYTTAGGGTTGATAAAATGGCAAAAATTGCAATTTCCAGTTCACCGTGAAGTGATATCGTATCACTTCACTGATATGGTTTTTATTCACTACTTTATCACACTGATATTGACCCTAAATGTGTAATAAATAATCTAACTTRTCTTTGTATTTCATCAGGAATGTTCCATACCGAGTACGTGTTCGCTTAGCCCGCAAGAGAAATGAAGATGAGGATTCTGTTCATAAACTCTATACCCTAGTAACAGTAGTTCCTGTAACAGGCTTCAAAGGTAGGCATAAAGATCCTTTATAAAGCTTCAGTCAATCAAAACATTAATCAGACTGTTGCTAGAAGAGTCAAGCTAAACTGCTGTATTTTAGATTTATGGGATGAAAAAACAAACAAAAAATGTTTATACAATCTTGCTTTTGAAAATTARGGAAGGCTTGGATGATTTTAATCTGTAATATTGAAACTAAATATTGATTTTTCTTGCTTGTTTCAGGTCTTCAAACCCAAAAAGTTGAGAGYGAAGATTAATCTCCTTGATCTGTCAATAAAATATTTCCATCTGTATCTCATTTGTCTCATTTATTGGTTGTTTTAATTCACTTTTAATTTTATTTTCCTTTTGAGGGGCATCTTGCTGTAATGAAAGGTTCATTTTTCTTTACTRCACATAGTTTAGTACAAAGAAAAAGGAAAAAAAACATGTTCATGCAATAAATGCCCCTCAAATTTGATGCTGACGCAAAAGCAAAGACTTTTTGAGATACAAATAAGTGGTTGACCACTTCATTAAAACTGGGAAAATCAAAAGGCATGGTTTGTACGAGTTTGGCAAGAAAAAGTCCAAGGAAAATTTTATTGCAGTTTRATGCTATTCAAACTGGCCATTTAATCCCACAGGAGATGATTTAATGCTATGCAAAGTATATCACAAGTATCCTGCAACTAACCCATTGTTAGTTTCCCAAAACAGAGATCGAGAATATCAAACCTGACAACTAACTGGTAGGGTGGGGGAGGGATCATGTATTGAGTAAGGAGAATAGAAAGAAGTTTTAAGGATCGGCCYATTTTTCTTTCCCCGCCCACCATTYCCCTTTTCCATCAAGTCTCAYTAGTTCTGGCCTTTGTCTCTCCCATCTATTTCCATTGTTCTGCCACTGGAACAATGGATCTTCAACCTTCCCAATTCTTAGTCACTGATCTCTGGAACAATGATAAGTTTGGATATACTACTATAGATGTAGTTCATATCTTACCCACTCTGGTTAAGTATGATCACATTTACACATTTTACTTGAACCTGTTATTACACTGCAGTGAAAAATTCGCCTAAAGTTTGGGACTAGAAACACTTGGGTATGCAGCCTCTGTAGAATGGAATTAATTAGCAGCTACAATTAGAAATATTACTTCAGTGCCCATTTTTATTAAGAACATTTAAAACTTACTTTTACAGAAAAGCCTTAAACTAGTATATGATTACTTTGCCATTTTATGCTAATTTGCACTTTATAAGTACATAATTATTATTGATCTGTTATAGCAGTCACTTGATCTTTTAAATAGGCATTTACAATATTAAATCATAGCATAATGTTTATAAATCCATTGTAAGAAGATTTTTAAATCTGTAGTTCTTCGCGCAAATTATATTAAGGCTATTCATGTTAGATTACGTATTATAAAATAATTGGGATACTACGCGCGCTATGATTGGTCGAAAACTATGTTTGATGAGAGTATCAAAACACGCTATCGTCATTTTTAATCTATCGCGCGCGCTCATTGGTCAGTTTGAATAAGAGGGCACATAGGGAGCATTTACTTAGACTTTGCTTTTTTTCGATCTTTTCGCGCGTTTGTTATTTTATAAAACAAATCAAAAACAGTTTTCCGTGTTTGATACTCTGATCAAAACACGCGGGATGTTGGGAGAACACTCGAGAACACTCCTCTCATGTTCTCCCAACATCCCGCGTGTTTTGATCAGAGTATCAAACACGGAAAACTGTTTTTGATCTGTTAATACAAGAATTGCAAAATCATTGTTTTTCTCTATCTTCCTCATTTTTCCTCCTTTTGTAAAAATCAACTTGCCACAAAGCAAAAGCTGCCAAAATAATCAGTCTGCTCTATCAACTGTCTCTCAAATAAATATTGTTATTTATTTATTTATTAGCACATCAAAGGATAATATTATTTCATTTCCCCAGAATACCTTTCGGTCTCAGCTACTAGGTTTTGTCTTTTGGACAAGACAATTGTTTTGCAATTGTGTGTACAATTAATGAATAATTATTTTCATAGGCTGAGATATATCAATACATGTTCCTGCCATACACTAATTTGGATAGTCTTTCAGCATAACCTAGATATTCTACATATTTCTTAGAATGAAATGTGTCCAGTTTATAAATTTTCTTGTAATCTTTGTAATGTTCAATCTGACTCATAAACTCAACTATCAACATATATTATTTGGCTGTTTTCCTTCTCACAGGCTTCACCAATACATCAAAAATTTTTAGTTAGTGCATTAAGACTGAGTTAGCTATCAAATTGGGATGGGATAAAATATGAAGCAGTCTTGATGTACTACATTCATACAGATATGAATAGCAACGTATACCTTCTCTGAGATAAACAACATGGTGCATTGTGGTCTAGCTTGGGTAAACAAACTATTGTTCACTATGTCTTATAATTMTTGTCATGGTGYATTTGCKCTGAAGCTAGAGCATAATGCATCCYGTTTATAAAATTCAGAAAAATGCCTATGATAAAGAAAATAAAATTTATTTTATGAATATAATACATTAACAGGAACTCTCCCACAATGCTACATGACTTGAARCTGGAGGCTGACGAGAATCAATTCTTTATTTGGTAAGCATTCTGTTCTAATTAAAGAGGCATTGATATCTAATCAAGGCATATGTATAATATGTATATATAATGTTTATATATGAATCAGCTTTCAAGAAAGAATGCTGATACAGCAAATACCAAAAACACTACACCTCCAAGAATTGTAACTGAAATTTTAAAAATATGAAAATTAGTGAAATTACTTATAAGGGAATGGTCATAAAGTAAAAGGGGGTGGTGGGGTGGGGGAAGAGTGCTAAACTGGATTTGAAGGTTCTCTCTTTTTTTTTGCTGGCTATGAAATGTTGATAAATGATGCCCCCCCCCAAGTTTCCATGCAGGAAATGAAAAATGACCCACCCCTAATGTACAGCTTTATATACAGCCCACCCTTTTTAAGAAGTTCAAAATTCTGTACCCTCACCCCCTACTTTATAACCAGTCCCTATTACTGTATAACACTTATGTATAATACTTGGTTCTGATTAGAATTTAAAAAATGATTTGTTTTAAATGTATTTAAAGAGTTTAGAATGGAAATACGAAAATTGGGCTTCTTCTTCAGGTACCAGACACAGTTTATKTAMTTCAATAGAAAMAAYAAAAGACCCCAAGTTATACAWCAGAATGATGCTAACAAAGATTACAATGGGTTTGCAGTCTATGTGTGTAATGTTAAAACAACAACTACAGTTCTTACCTGTTTTTACAGATATCTTTTGTGCAATCATTCTGCCACCAACTACAGCAAGTCCAGTGCATAAGGAATGCCCAATTGTTCCTCCAATAATAACACCTATAACATTCTAAAACAACAATGACAGTTCAGTAAGAAACCTCTAATGATAGTAATGGGGATGCAAAAACCACTTCAAACTGCTTCAACTGCAAACTTACTTCTCTTGAGCCAAGTAAGATTGTTGCCAGCTGWGATCTATCACCCCACTCTGCTAAGAATGTCAGAGTGAACGACTGTACTAAAATAGGAGATATAAATTTATACCACTTGTGCTGCTTTCCTCCTCGTATAATTCCTGTCTCTGGATCTTGAGTGACAGTTTCCTGCATTGAAAGCTGCCAAAAAGATATATGTACTTTTGTTAAGAAAAAATATATATATACATGTTAATAGGAATCCTATACCATTACAGTCAAACTAGCTCATGCATTCCAAGTTTCAAAACAAACTTGAAATCATATTTCAAATGAACTGAATCTTCCAGCCTTGATAAGAAAGCATGAGCTGGTTTGGCTGGAAATGTAACAGCTTACCTCTTCATCTTTCTTTTTTAATTCAGCTTGGACTTCCTCTAGCTCTTCTTGCCCTTCATTTGGGTCCATATCATATCCTTCTTTCAGCATTTTAAGACCAAAAAACAAAAACAGTCCACTGGAGATATAGAGTGTGATTTTTCTAGGAATGACAGTAGTTGCATAGCCAAGAACTGCTGATAAAATTGTCATGAGGCCCAATGCAAGCATTGCACCASTAAAAATTACCAGCCTTGAATGACGCATTGACATTATGGCAGCAATAAAGAAAGTTTTGTCTCCAAGTTCCGATACTACGATSACAGAAATTGAAGCAATGAATGCATGTACAAAGCCAAGTGAAGCTGAAAAAATTCCACCTTGATCTGTGGGTTGATCTCTTGATTGTGTCTTTCCTGCCTCAGTGTTGCTCTTAAAAATCAAAATAAGCAGAAGTGGAGTCAACACTGTTTCATTGATAGGGTRAGAGGCAACTCTTACTCAAAGGGATATTTTTTAAATATGGGGACCCAATACTGTAGTCATTAAGGCATTTACATTACTTTTTGTTCCAYATTTTATTGTCTARAYTTGCATGTTCCAAGGTAACTATCATACTATAAGTATCGTAAGTAATATATACAGTACGAGTGGCCGTGCTGTATCGGATATACAACCACGAGGTGTAGCCAAGCGATTGTATATCTGATACAACACGGACACGAATACTGTATATGACTTATCAAACGTCTAGGTTAGTTCCTTTGTGTTTCACTAAAATTTTCAAAATTAAAGTGAATTTGGCCAAGAAAATCAAACTTAAAGTTTATGCAGATGAACACAGTTTTGTATCAGATTTACAACACTCTTCACGGTCGTGATTTCTGTTGTGTTTTCCTCATGAATTATTAATGAGTTTGATATTTACAATTAATTATTCTGATTGACTGCTGCAATGTGTCTATCGAAACAAATTTAGCCAATCAGAGCCATTGTCATAGATAGTAAGCATGGCTGAGAAAGTGAATTTGAACTAATCAGAAACCAGGACAAATACAGTCTCAGCTAGTGGCCACAGCAGGACTCCAACTCAGCACCACCAGATTGCGAGACTGACGCTATGACCACTCGACCATGCTGCTGCTAGGTGATACATGAGATACTGAGTTTGTGTATGTTGATTCTGATACTAGTGTCAACCAGGCCTAAGTGATGTATTCAGGCTGAGACTTCCTCAGACCCTCCAATCTGCCTCCCTCCCCCCCCCCCCCCCCCCCCCTATCGTCCCTCCCCCAAAAAAACAGCGGTTAAATTATTTAAAGCATTTCATTGAAGAGGATTATAACGTTAGTCTCATTCAATTATCAATCTATTTATCACAAGAAATCAAAAGAAAACATCTCTGAAAAAGTAATACAAAAATGAAAATAATTGGAAAGCGTGAAAGTGTTTCTGTAAGCTTAATTTTCAGGAAGGTATAAGCCTTATACATGTACGTGGAGTGAACTGTATTTGAAGTTTTATATGTCAAGTTCCACGTACATTTTTTTAAATGGCTTCAAGCCYCCAAATTAACTGGTTTACTACTAACAAAAAAGTAAATACCTTTTCATCATTAAGAGGAAATATAAATGACTTGGACTGCGCGTTAGCAGAAGGCTGTCCAATTTCTTCGATTTTTTGTTGWGAAGCCAAAAGGAATCGACCAAGAAGCCCTTCACGTTCATCGGGAATCAAGGCGCAAGTCAACACTACTTGCACCATTAACGCGAATCCTACGACCCTCAGGACTCGAGCCATGTATCTTGAACATTTTGCCATTTTAAGAAGGTAATCTAGCTTTATATTTTATAATTAGAAGAGTTTTTCTCATGCCTGTTTAAAGCCTGAAAATCACAKAAAAATGATCTTGAGCCCGCCGTGTTTATAATCAGCTGCTATTGACTTTCGCACATGCGTATGATGACTCATAGTTTGGGCTCCCTGACAGGGCCGATGCAAAGGGGGAGACAAAGACGAGATCCCTGCTGAGGTCTTCTTTTCCTTTTCTTTTGCTGGATTGGCGAGGGAAAAAAGAAGCCTCTGCCAACAAGGAAAATCGTGGCGAATCTCTCGCACAAAGCATGATGGGAGACCAAGTAGTAATGTTTTTTTCAGCTCCTCTAAAAATCCCATCTGACAATTTTTCCTTCGACATTTTYTATCAAACTGTAAGTATTTCAACAGACCAAAGTAACAGAGTAATTTTTYCTATGATTCTATTTATTTCCTTGTTCGTGGTCTAGTGAACCATGGCAAACTCACCCTTTTTTCGATCCCGATACTCATCTCATTTTGAAACTCATAAAGACTTTAAAAGCCATCAATGATTCCAGATCGAGTCAATATTGTTGATTGATAAAAAGCGCGCTTTGGGATCTTAATGAAAGGRTCGTATTTTCTTTGATCTTATTAGACTAAAACACCTGTTGTCGGACCGCTATGTACTGATACGAGACTTACTGCACGCACGGCACAGCGCGTGAACCATGCGTAAGAGATATGTAGAATACAAGTGAAGATCAATCATGTCAATAACAAGCACACTAAATACTGGGGTCACGAGTTGGTGACGTAAAAGGACACATTTATAAAGGTATTCATTTGGCAACCTTCATTTTCAAAAACAATTTATATACGTTACTGAAGTCTTGTAACGCGCGGAAAATTAATCTATCTTCCTATGAGTGAGAACAGAAAAGCAAGGCGCCGTGAACGTTTCCGAAGAGGTCGCTCGTGTCCACAGCCGTTCGATTTGGTGATACAATCCGTTTGCAATCAAGGGAGCTTGGAACATGAAGTACTCAAAGATGCGCAACGATTTATGTATCATATGCAGCAACAGGGCCATCCTATCGATCTTGATGCCATTACCGCATCGGGTATGACAGCATTGACGCAATGTGTGCTAGATGGAAGCCTTAGGAGTGTCAAAATCTTAGTCGAGCTTGGAGCAAATGTTAACAAGAAGGACGGCCGTGGTTGGACACCACTTCATTATGCGGCGAGTGAGGGGTATATAGAAATTGTGCGCTTTTTATTGAGATGCGAGGCTGATGTCCGAACCAAGAATAACGAGGGAGATTTGCCAGTTGATTTGGCTGAAGATGAAGCTGTCAAAGAGCTTCTGAGTCGAGTTACGCTGTTTTTGACTCCAACTGGTTCAGTGATAAGAAGACGACTTAGCCTCCCAGCTGGCCATGGGTTTTAACATTATTTATAACTATCCCAAAAAAAAAATTAGTCACAGCTAGAATAGCTTCATTGATCCTAGTAGCTTGTTTTACGTGGTCAAACATTTATTGACTATCATAAAAAAATTTAGTCACAGCTAGAATAGCTTCATTGATCCTAGTAGCTTGTTTTACGTGGTCAAACATTTATATTGACTCCACACTAAATCGTGATTGTTTTATCATTACTGATCTAAAAATCTCCTCGAAATCAATATTTTAAGTGCTAAAACAACACATTACTAATTGCTTTTGAAGAGTTTTAAAGTTCCATTCAAGGGAAAGACGTCATCATGTATGAGGCATCGTGCAGTGGACGATAGAACGATCGGAAACGCAAACTAGGTCTTAAATATTCTAAGTGCTAAAACAACACATTTCTAATTGCGTTTGAAGAGTTTTAAAGTTCCCTTCAAGGAAAAGACGTCATCATGTATGGGGCATCGTGCAGTGGACAATAGAACGATCGGAAACGCAAACTAGGTCTTTGAGTGGAAATTTAGTTTATCAGTACCCTGCGAGCAGAGGATTTTTTAAACCCTCTCCCATCTTCCAACGGTCGTGGAGAGGACCAGGGTAGTTTATCAAATAATCAAGTGAACACGTATTACATCTCTTTTCGTTTATCAAGCTTTGTGTATGTCACTGGCTGAATGTTTGTAAGGTCAAGTAAGTGGTTTTAGGAATTTTTGTTGGTATGGATTTGTCCTCTGATTTGACAGCAACCCTCGGAACTAACTCTTTAATTGTTGGTCAGATATACCATGTCCAGCTTCGTGGATTAAGAACTATTATTACAACAGTAAAAACCCCGTGGTTTAAATCATATAAAGTGGTCCCTCTCAAGTGGGATGTCAAACAATGGGAGTCTCAAATATGTGACAGAAGCCAAGAAGCATCTGCAGAACGCATTAGGCGATGTCGTCTTGAAGTTATCTATAGCTAGATCTTCTTGAGTCCAAGCGATTAACTGACCTTTTATCTTGTTTATATATAAAAACCATATAATACTACTCTCAAAATCCATGACTTATAGACATCAAAGTTTGACCACCTAAATTCTAGATGAAATAAAACTTAAAACTRACTATAACAAAAGATAACTAGTCGATTCGATAATCTCTTAATTAAGTACCGGAAAATGATCTTTCTCAGTGCAGCTATTTTGTACGAGATAGTGGAGTATCRCTGGAACAGAAGTGGGAACAAAGCAACTACTGACCTCTGCGTGTTTTTGTTTGGATCATGCCTAATCGAATTCGACAAATAAATTAATAGTTGTGATAACTAAATACCTTAACTAAGAAAGAGTGCATAACATGTATCTGTGAAAAAGTTAACTAACACAACTGTACAAATTAGTCCAACATTTTGAAGGTCTACTGAGTTTAATTACCAATTTGTGCAAATTGTGCAACTCCATACGAATGTTTTCACGTATATATGGTATGTACTCTACCTTTTAGCGCTACATAGGTCTAGCTAGTAAGTAATTTGTTTCACGGACGGACACATTGCGTGCACTCTATCAGACAGAAACTTACTTCAACCCACATTTGATTATGTTCATTGTTCAGGCTCGAACTTGTAAACTCTCAAATTATCACCAAGAGCTAGCTCGTATTGATTAATGAAAGAGTGAATGCCACAACAAGTATGCTGGTATTAATTGCGCAGTAACTTATGGGCAGGTAGGTGCCATACGGAAACGATAATAAATGCAGAGTTCTTAATATCAGCTGCGTATCAATTCTGATTGAAAAGGCTTTGCCTTATCGGTCGGACCCGCGGGCAAGAAGAGGCGATTTATATGTACTAAATGACCTTTCATTCTAGYATGACATCTGTGTGAAATGGAACAGAGGACGTGATGGAAACACATCTAGCGGTTTGACTTCATTTCGACCTCATAGGGGGGCAGAAAATGCACCCTAGGACTGGATTCAGGATTACTTTAAGGAGGGGCTAGGTGCTAAAGAACTATGTAAAATGAGCCAGCTGTATTTATTTGGGTACACTTCTAAATGTGAATATATATAATATGACTGGTTATGGAAAGTGGGATATGCCATACGTACATGAGGAGGTTGGTCAGTACGTGTGTCGGAACTCGGTATTAGTCTTGACCCTAGCTTTCCATTCCTCTTTATGTTCATGTCAGAACCGAATGTCACGCATAAGAAATAGAGAGTTTTAGATTGACTTTTTTTTCTCCCCGCAAACGGCAAACGTGACCATGTTTTCATAGTTTTCCTTTATTTTACTTTACCTTTTACAAGCCTTCTCACCAAGCGCAAATACTCTTTTGTTTTTCTACTGCTTGGACTTTTTTGCGCTCCTTTTTTAGTAATTTAAAAGAATTTTTTACTGGTCAACTGACGTTTCACGTTTGCCGTGAACGTCAACTGCATGGTGAATAGATCCTATACAGGAAGGGCTAGACGGCGTTTTGGAAGAAATTACGAATGTACTTTTTAACATTTAATATGTAGATATCAGACAACTACCCCACCCTCTGTCCCAAGGGAGTGGTGTCCCCCCTCCGCTAACTTTTCCCCTAAGGACACGGATAACCTTTYGTTCAGATTAAGGAACATATTGAGGCTTTACTCAACACAAGCGGTTGTCTTTGTAACTGAATTGATATCGACAAAAACAATTGCATATATAAAACGCCAAACAACACGTGCACGAGGAAGCTATTTCGAAAATAATGATGGGATTCCTGTGTTAAAGCGTGTTGATGATATTGGGATGCCTGTGTTATTCATCACATGAAGCCATGACGTCACCACGAGGGATGCCTGAGTGGTTTTAGCGAGGGACGTCTGCTGTTTGGCGGGAAGTGTTTAATATGGCTGTATTTCTACCGATTTTAACCCCCAAAGAGAACAAGAAACGACAGATTTGTGATTGGCATTGAATCTTAAAGCCCTTGGCTGTCGTTCTGCTTGGATTTTAAGGATGGGTTTGAACTCTAAGAGTGGGAAAAGAAGCACTGATGTTTCGCTATTAGGTAAGACCTCGCCTCCACTTTGAATTGATTGTGATGGTTTTTGTGAGTGTAATTTATGCAAGAAGCGAAGAAGTGCTTGGGTAATAATTGCCCTCTCCTCTCGTTAAAGCTCACAATCATCGTATACGGTCAATATTATCTCATAGGACCTTTTCTAGACGTTGATATTTACCTTTTAGCGAGGTAAATAGTAATGTTTTTTGCGAGATGGCGCCGGTCGYGGTCGCGAAGTGCGTGGAAAAACCGTAACGTAATACAACGATTTTTATGATTATCGTTCACGTTCAAGCTCCAAGACCTCCAAACCTCGACCTTTTGGTGCCAGAACACTTTATAATGTCTGATATTAGAATCCTATTATTAAAATAGGGGATAAATATTTTTTTCTAAGTATGAATGACACTGTTTCTAAGTGCTTCTTAAGCTGAATACTCGATGCATCGTGTTATGATCGATTTTCGAACCACATGATTTTAGTCGAATTAAACATTTATTATTGATAGAATACCGTCCACGCTCATCGAAAAGATTTATTCTCGCAAATTTAAAGTTTGCATTCTGTTTCTGTCATGTCGGACGATGAGATGTCGACTTTAATGGCGTTTGATATCCGAAAATAACCTAATTAGCATAATTTTGCATAATTTTGACTTTTAATATCGATCACGAATTGTTTATAAACAAATGATATATATCAGATAAAACCTGATCCATAAAGTACAGTCCTCTTAGATACCTTAGTTGTCATTCAAAGCCATTTTTCATGAAAATCATGGTTTATTCAATGCTTGAATGCTTCTTTAAGCATTCATTTGTCATATGATAAAGCATATCAGTTCAAAACAATCATTTTGTAAAAAAACGCTTTGTAGATATGTTCTACTTCAAAATAGATAGCCTCTCAATAAAGCTGATATACAAACTATATTTWAAAAAAATCAATATTTCTTATTGTACAGAAATATTGTACATAATTTACTTAATAACTTTTTGGCTTTCTGTTTTTTGTAGCATAAATTTGCATCATAATTATTTATGGAATATGTGAAAGTAGCATGTTGTTGATAATAGCTTTGCATTGTAATTATAAGATTTGAGGTTTCTTATGAGAGAAAAGTTTTGTTAAAAGTTCTAATCGTGAAATAATATTAGAGTATAATAGTGAAATTTTCAAAGATTTTTGCTTACATCTTTGTTTTGCTGTACTTATCTACATCACTGTTTTGTTTTGTTTTGTTTTGCTTAGAAGATGCAGAAAATGATGAAAGGCCGAGTAAGAGGTTGAAGCCAATGGATTGTAAGGGGTGAGTCTGCTATTTTTATATCTTTTGTTTAAAACTATACATTAAATTAAATTATATACCACATCCCTGTGCATAACAATAGTAGCTCTTTTCATTGGGGATAATAATTATATAATAATATAATCACTTTGCCAACATAATTCTGATATTGCGGAGTAATATTACAAGAGTAATATATATATATATAAAGAGAGTATTATTAAACTTATCAGCTAGAGTGACCAAGCATCATCCTTCCAGCCTGGGGGGYGTAAAGAGTAACAATCATTATTGTTTTGCTTCTCTGGAGTCTTGTATTCATTATCGCAGTCAGTAACCACTCATCCTAAACTTAAATTAAAGCGAAGCCAATGTGACTCTTGTTAAACTGTGGTTTTGAATTTCATATTTTTTGGGATACCTATGTGATGATGATTTAATAGTTACATAATTTATAGTTCATATTTCATAATAAGTAATGGCTGCTCAATAGCTAGAAAAGTTCACTTGTCAGTTCAGACAGATTAACATACCTGTATGTGTGCATGTCAAGAGGGCTGCCCTACAAGGCAATTGGTGACACATTATACATTGACCAGGCAGTATTTTTTAGCTCTGATTATCATTTTTTATTGTTATTATTTATATTTTGTTGTTTGTTTTTGTTATAGGGGGATAAATGCAATTATAGCTGATGAATGGAAATGTATGTATGAAAATCTGCTAATGTTCTTTATTTCATGTTTCCATAGCAGATATTTTTGTGTAAATTTGGTCTTTCATTGACACCCCAACAGAATATATATATATATATATATATATTATAATTAATAATAACATTTAAAGGTGTTATATGATTTTGTGTTTGGAGGGAGGGTTCAAGGTAATCTTTATCAATTCATCTATTTACCTTTTATTATCAGATTTGCATAGTACACTCAAGTTAGAGTCATTGTGAATAATGCTGACATATTTGTCTAATTTGCATATATATCCTCTCTAGCTTCTTCAGGTCCACCTTCACCTGTTCCTTTCTTGTCTCCTGATGGCCGTATCACTAAGCCTGCTGAGGTAAGCAAAACATTTTGAAAATAAATCTAAATATATCTATATCTATATATCTATTTATATCTAAATATATCTTAACACAAAATACTTTTATCAAAAGTCCACCACAACATTCCACCCTGAATTGTTATGTTTATACCGATACAGGAAGATCCATTGCTGAAACATTAGTTGTGTTTTCTACCTTGAATAGTTCCATTAAATTCTTTCTGGGGAGTCAATTCTTATTAGCATCAAACAGGCTGATTTTATGATAGCTTTTCCTTTGAAATTAAAACCAAAAGAAGGCTGTTTTTTGTTGCTCAAAATTATAATGCCCATCAGAATAGATGTCTTACCTATGATAAAAGAAGATTGTTAATTTAAGTGACCCATAGCATAACCATTGCAGTTATTTTTATTTATTACATTTATATGATATCACTTCACAGCAGAGCATTGTTTTTATAAGGATGATAATAGAAGAAAAGATACTTGCTGTACTGATATCTTGATGTCTGTGCCTTTTGCTATATATAACAGAAGAGAATGATACTCGCTTGGTTGTCTAAGATATTGGAAATTACCAGAAACCAGCAAATGACCTTTGTCCCAATGGGAAAGAAAGCCTAGCYGGTATAAGTTTATTGCATTTTTTAAAAGCCATTTTGGTTAGGAGCAATTTATTTTCAAGATACGTCATAGATGATTATGATAAATTAGGTTTTCAAAACAAAATAATACATAGCTAGGTTTGCTGTTTTTTAAATAGATTTAAGAAACATTTATTGTCACATTTGATTGGGATCTTTATTTGATGACCTATAATTATTTATTAATGAAAAGCTAATAAAATATCCTTGAATCTCTAGAAAATGATCTTTATTATTCTATTGTAGGGCTTTTCGTACTAATCTTCTTTTTGTACTTTGATTTTGAACAATTGCAAAATATTTAAGACAAAAAATGAAAATTCTATCCTTTTGGCTTAAGGATATTTTAAAGTCTAATGCATGCTTTTGTTGCAAAAAATATTACAACTTTTGGCAGTATATTTTGCAAATAAATATTGTTAATAATTTTCAAATGATTATATATAAATTGCTGTAACAATTAACCACACCTCAGGATCAAAAGCTGTTTGCTCAAAATTCCATTTACGAATGTATGGCCTTGTGTCTCAGGTGTCAACACATAGCTAAGATCATTTGCATGTCTGGATCATAAGATCTAGACGGAATCCTAACCCAGTCATTTTACAAGAATACATTTATCACCATACAATCCAAGGGTTCACTGCAGAGATTATAAGGGAAGAAACTGGATGATATTTTTCYGATTATGGTAAAACCAAAATGTTTCTAGTCAATGTTATTTCTAGACATAAGTTTATGTGTGAACTGCATAAATCATTTTGGAAAGAAGTGAAAGTCATCATTTTGTAGCGTTCATCTTTAGACRGATAACACTTCCATACATATATTGGTCGTCTAAAATCTATTTTCTTAGTAAGGTGTTAAGTTTTATTGTCTAGATATATTCATTTTACTTATGTGCTAAGATTTTGCTGTATAAAGGAAGTATTTTTATGAGAATATATTGTAGACTTAGGCAGGTTTCTCTTTGGTGTGACTTCATATCTGCCTTAAACTTACTGTCAATGTATTTGAGTCTGATTTCAAAATTTAACGAAAGAATCCTTGCATTTAGCTTTCCATTTWAATTCTATTAAATGTTGTATTGTAGTCTTCACAAGTCATAAGGTGGATATAAGGAGAAAAGGGCTTGTGTGTCTATAGGTTAGTGTTTGTTAAAATGACAGAATAATGTACAAATTATTAAGTCAGTAATTTAAATAGGATTCATGAAGTGTTGTCAAATCATGCTTCCCTTTTGTCATCCAATACTTTCTTATTTGCTGACAAGAAAAGCAATGTAAAAGAATAGGTTTTTGGCAATGTAAAGCTGCTTAATATTTACTGCACATCTTCCTCTTATCTCACAATTATTTTAAACTTAATTTTTATTTACTTACAGAATATGRCATTGAACTTCATCAAAAATGAAATGTTATCTCCTTTATTATCTAATGAATTCATTTTTCAAATTTAATGATAAAATTTTGAGTTTATTTTATATATTTTTTCTTTGTCAATTTTCTAATATTCATTTCCTTTTACTTATATAACTCAAAACAAAGCTCCAAAATAAAATTTCATGTGATATTTTAGTTGATGGTTTGAATCAAATCCCTTGTATTGTTTTGCTTGACTATTGTATTGTTCTTTCTAATAATTAAAATCTATGTTGATACTTAGAATTCACCTGGCATAAGTAACAACTAGGAACACAACACTGTGCCTTGTAGAATATTGTACATTTTATTCCATATCCTGTGTAGTACTGTGGTTTCAGTTATTCTTGCACCAATGTAACAAGTTACATTCTATGCTTTTCGTTTTATCCCTCATGATAATAATATTTATTCTCATATCATTAAATTTTTCTCAATAGATTTTTCGTACCGATCTAATCAGTGCAATGAAGCTACCGGACACTCAAATCTTAAATCCTGAAAACTACATGACAATTGTTGACCCTTGGCGACAAGAATGGGAACGAGGAGTACAGGTAAAATTTGAATAGAAGTGAAAATCTGAAAAATAAATTGTTGTTAAAAATTAAAAATAATTAACATTTAAGAATTGGATACTTGGGAATTATCCATGCGTGTGGGAGTGGAGTCTACTTTGGAAATTAATTTGAAAATAGCATAGTTTGCCTGAAGGGTAAGGAAGCAATCAGGAGTAACATTGAACAGGAAGAAAAATGGGAAATAGAATAAAAGAAAAAAAGAAATTCCCATTTTTGAAGTTTTTTTTTCTGATATAAGATTAGAAACTCCATCAAACCTCTTTGTTAATTGTTTTATCTGCATAAATGTTTTTATTTCAAGTGAATACCTTTGTTGAAAACTTCCTCTGTTGAAAACTTCCTCTGTTGACTTTCAGATGCGGCAAGTAACATAATTGTATATAAAATGTGATAATGAATCTGATGTTTATTTATTCGATTCAGGTACCAGTTCATCCAGAGGGACTATCACAGCCATCTTTTAGGTAAATAGCAATCATATCTGTTTAATATGATTTTCTTCTGTTGTCTAAAAAAATCAATCATGAATTAACACCATTAATTTCTGCTACAATGACAGATATTGCAAATATTATACAAGTTTGACATGTTTCCCTGTTACTTTAATACTTCAAAGACAAATTTAGGAATACTTGACTGTTGGCAGCTATAATAACTGATGTATTTGTAAAACAGCCTTTTTAAACAAGTTGTACATGATTAGTATTTATAGAGACATTGTTTATGCTTGCTATTTTTGCTAATATACGTTTTTTTATATACACAGCTTTGTTGAAACTCCCAAGAAGACATCGACATTTAAACTGTAAGTATAAATTTATAAATACTGTAAAACCCTGGTCAGAGCGAARGCATTTCACCCATGAAATAAAAAGTGTCAGTCAATGTGTAATAGTCAAATAGACACAAAAGAAAACAATGGACTTAGCATCTACAAATATGTATCATTCTAATATCTATTTTCACGAATTTCATGACCTCACTCTATAATCCTTGGGTATGCACTCTCAGCATTTTGAACTATTTCAAAGCAAGTCTTAAGTCATCTAGTCAACGACCTTTCCTTCTTGCTGCTTCWTTAGGTAGAAAGGAATGTCCACAGATACATATCAATAAATGTGATTATGAATATGCTCTCTGCTCTCTTCACAGCTCAGGGAAGTTATTGAACTCTGARGATAAAAGAAAAGGGAAATCCCCTTGTAATTATGATTTAAGTCGGATAGACGTAGAATGGTTATATAATCTCAACAAATCAAGAAGAAACAAAGGTAATTAAGCTACCCAATACACCTTTCCCGAATTCGCTTGGATGAACATGAATTTGATTCTTTTATTCATTGAGTCCAACCTGGTAGTGAAACCATTGTTTAGTCATCCAAGCAAATTCAGAAAAGGTCTAYTGATTGTAAAATAAATGTTCAGTATAATTAGTGGGATATGGTACAATTTGTTGTAATTGTTAATTAAATCACTAAACATAAATCTGTTGGACAGTTCAACAAAGCAAGGTGACAAAAACTATTGGTTGACACGTTAATATCATAGTCCAACATCGTCATTGTGTCACCTATTACAACAATTATTATAATACACTCAACAAAATTACTCGATTCCGATTGGACAAGAGGAGTACAATTAAATCCCAAATTGTACTCTGTAGCTTAGAGTCCCAATTTAATTCCTCAATTTTGCTGAGTGTATTGTAAACAAAAAATTACACAATTAGCTAAATGTTCTTGTACAATTTGGAATTTATAGATACTCCTGATGTTTTGAAAGTTCTCAAATTGGACTCACCTAAAAGGCTCATCCAATTTTGAAAACTTTCAAAACATCACTCGTACCTATAAATTCTGAATTGTACTCAAGATCGTGGGATTTCCTGTAATAATACCTCAAACAAACTCAGATCACATGGTGGACAAATTAGGGTTTAACCCTTGACCCAAGCTAGCAACCACAGCAGTGAGTTCTAAACCTCCAGCTCCACCCATAGTTCTTTCATAGCACACCATGTTGTGACCCTTCGTATGTCATACAAATTCTTTTCACTTGTTTTACCATGTAGGACATCTAGAGCTTGAAGAAGATGCCCTAGAAAAAGCAATATCATACTTGGAGGATAAGTGCTACGAGAACATGGGTCATGCYATAGCTACCCAGAAGGGGCTTAGTATTGAATATGATGAAAGCGTATGCTGTGAAGTCTGCCAGTCGGTGAGTATTTTTCCTTTATACAGAAACTTTTCCCTCAGAATCCTAGCCAATCACTAGAGGACACTGGGGTTAATACCCATCACGAGTTTAAGTCTATACACAGTAAAGATAGTTCCATTCAGTGTTGGGATTATAAGAACCTTCAAGAACCTTTGTTGAAAAGCTGAATAATTYTAATTGTAATTTATCATTTTTTCCCCAGCCTGATAGCGAAGAGGGCAATGAGATGGTATTCTGCGATTCATGTGATATTTGTGTGCACCAAGCTTGTTATGGCATTCAACACATTCCGTCTGGTAGCTGGCTTTGTCGGCCTTGTAGGAGGGGYGTTAGTAAACCAGCTTGTAAGCTGTGTCCTAATCCTGGTGGTGCCATGAAACAAACAAAGTAAGTTGACTTGTAATAACTTRACTGCATTGTATAATGTACTGGTACTGAGGGGTGGTGTCATGTTGTAATCATGACTCAACCAGTATACTTTGTATATTGAATTTGACAGTGTTACTCAAGGGAGGGATGGGTGAGGCCATGTTTTCATCTTAAGATTATACATACCAGTATGTATGCAGTGTATCTAGACCCCTTGCAGCAAGTCRGAATGCATTGGAKGKAATAACTACCTRTTTSCAATTCTCAAGAGGCTTTTGYACCATCACTTGYCGGCACCATAATMCAGCTCRTACTGCCTGTGGTTAAATGGCAGAACAATAAATTCCCTTTGCGCTTGGGAATTGAATTCTTTCTYATGTAAAAYGAYTGTATTGTTCCTGCCATCTAACATGACTGCCGTCACGTGAWGGTACAAAACCTCTATTGRGCAGCTTTGACTTTGATRTCACATTCAAGCAGTCTATAAGTTGACAGTGTTACTCAAGGGAGGGAGGGAGAAATTGGGATAGGTAGGCATTTCATTGAAACRAAATATCATAATACAACACTTTTTTTTGATTGACAGGAAAGGAAAGAACTGGATTCACGTCAGCTGTGCTCTGTGGGTACCCGAAGTTGGCTTTGGTAGTGTCGAAAGGATGGAACCAATCATAAAACTTGAAAATATTCCTGTAAGTAAGAATAACCCAATGCTACTCATTTGAGTCCTATAACTAGAAGAGTGAAGTAAAAGGTAAAAAGGTTAAGCTATTTTTTTCCTTCAATGCTGCGGGAGTGGTTGCCCAATTCTCCCTAAAAGTAAAGTGTTCAAAGATACACTCTTTACCCCTTCAGAATGAAGCTACAGAACAGAGAGTAGAGATAACTAGCTAAAAACTAGAACAGAAAGTAGTTGAAACAGACGTGGAGATCCTCCGGATTGAACTGCGGACCTCTAGCTCTGAAGGCTGTACACTAATACTATTGAGCTACGCCTGCTCCCAAAAGTGAAGTCTTATGTGTGAATTTGTTTTCATTGCAGGCCAAGAGGTGGAATCTAGTGTGCTTCTTGTGTAGGGAGAAACATGGAGCTTGTATTCAGTGTACGGTATGTAGTCTCTTGTATGTCATCATGTCTATGATCAGTATGAAGTAAACAACAACAACATCTGCAACAAACAACAACTGCAACAACAACAACAGCAGCAGCAACAACAACAGCAGCAACAACAACAACTGCAGCAGCAGCAACTGCAGCAGCAACAACAGCAGCAACAATAACAGCAGCAACAACTACAACAACAACAGCAACAACAGCAACTGCAGCAGCAACAGCAGCAACAACAGCAGCAACAACTACAACAACAACAGCAGCAGCAACAGCAGCAGCAACAACAGCAGCAACAACAGCAGCAGCAACTACAGCAACAACAGCAGCAACAACAACAGTAGCAACAACAACAGTAGCAACAGCAACAACATCTGCAGAAGGATATGGGTTGGCATTCAAGATAGGAAAAGATTACTTTGCACTAAATAGTTGATTGTGAAATATTCTATTTCAGGTAAAAACCTGTATGACTGCATTCCATGTGACCTGTGGATTCCAGCGTGGACTTGAAATGAAAACAATCCTGGATGACTCGGCTGTTGATGGTGTTCGACATYTAGTAAGTGGATTAGCACGCAAAACTCTATGTAGAGATTTTACTTGCTCCATTGATAAAATAGAAAAAGTGTGTGTATAGCAGAGAAATAATAGTAGAAGCATGACGTGTAGTGGAGTGCTTCTCGATACTTCTCTAGTGTTCTGCCAATTCTAGTGTTCAATCAGAACAGGAGATTTATAACAGTCGTTTTATAAAGCACAATGAGGCTACATTCTGGAAAAAGGACGTAAAGCTACAGTAATACAGTAATATTAAAGAACATTTTTTTTGCTTGTTTATAGTGTTATTGTGACAAACATGGGCACAAAAACAAGTCTCCACCACGATCTCCAGAGAAAGCCAAGCAAGATGCGGAAGAAGCTGAAAATCTTAGACAAAAACGGTATGATCTACCTTACTTATAATCTGCCCTGATTACCCTAAGTTCTGCTATGATATTACCTTTTTGAATAGGGCTTCAAAACGGACGAAGAGACACGTCTCAAATCGTTTGTTTTTATACATATTTTAAAGTACTTATACCATATAAACTATATTTTTCATACATGTATATATACCTTTTTTTAACATCCAGGTTAAAACAGATGGAGACAGAATTCTATAAATATGTCGATGTAGCGGAAGCTGCTAAGGACTTGAACATACCCAAGGAGCTAGCAGCACACATACATGCATTCTGGACCCTAAAGAGAAAGGTTAGTATTGGAAAGACATTGAATGAAGTTTGYATGTATTCCTCAACTAGGCTGTAAACATTGGTGTCCTCTACGAATCGATTCGGTCAGAGACCCCTTGCAGCACGTGGGAATGCAGCTCAATTATCCAATTCTAAGGAGACTGAAATTCTTTTGTTTTGCCCTCCAAATTGAGCTGCTTTGACCTCATATGCAAGGGGTCTATTGCGATGATTCTTGTATTCTTGTACTGTGTACTTCTGCTATCTATACTTGTGAACTCACAAATATTTGTTCTATCACAGGCTCGTGATGATCTTCCCCTGCTTCCTCCGTCGTTGGAACAGCAAGAAAAACTGTGCGGAAAACAGGTCAGTGTGATTCTTTGTGGAGCATGCGCGGTCAGGCATTCGCCAGTGGGATGGTAGCTAGTTTGGTCAGGAAGAGAGATACCAATGACTCATTCGTAATGTGAATCGTTATTTATATTTTAATTCCAGGGCATGGCCAGTCGTAGTCTACAGATACAAATCGAAGAACTTATGAAAATGCGCTGTGACCTTGAGAGGGTAAGTGATCTTGATTATGAAATCCAGCGCGTGCTTTTCTCTCGTGATATGCGCGCGTCGAGTAGCTTTACACCTCGCATCCCTCAGTAATATTTAACATCCATTCTTAAACCTTTTTTTCTCTTTCCGCAGCTGCGTAACCTCTGTTACATGGTCAGCAAACGAGAAAAGATGCGGCGTGAATTRTTTCGTGTGAGGGAACAAGTATTCTGGAAAGCGCATGAAGTAATGACCGACGATACTATCGATATAGATGAGAACGATCTCAGATGGATACGGGAATCCTGTGGCAAGAACTATACCGGTGATGGTAGCGAACCAGCTCGAGGTCCTGCCGCAGAGGGTGGCTTAGAATCAGTGTCATCTTCAAGTGCGCAGTCAAGTAACTACGGCCAGACGAGTGCTGAGGAAATTACCGCGGAATTGAATCAAAGCAAAGAACCGAGTGAATGCTCCGAGGGGGACGTAAGAGGTGGGTACGACTCGTCTGACTCTGAAGACTCACCTCAGATCAAAACGCGTCGTCGTTTGAGGGGATTTTCTGCGTACAAATCTAGGAAGGACATAATGAATAACCGTTTGAAGTCAGAGAACCAGGATTCTAGAGGAGTTAATAAATCAGGAGGTGCTAAAGAAGCAGTAGACCCTGAATCTAAAGCAGACGAAGAAGACGGCAGGAAGGAGGGGTGTGACACATCTAAAAGATCAACAAGGTCTCGAAGTCAAGGGGATATAWCGTTTGAACAGAATATCGTGGTCGATTCTACTGATGAAAGCAAAGAAAAACTGAATGAAAGTGAATTACCGAAAGTCACGACGAGAAGCCATCAACGTTCTACATCCAAACAGGTTCCTGACGACAGTGGTTAYGATGTTAAGGCGGAGGAGGCCAATAAGATAGGACTCACAAGACCACGAACCAAAGGACAAACATCCGACTCTACCTCTGAAGAGACAGAAYCAACGAGAGAAGAGTTTGATTTGCCTCCAAGCCCTACGCGATCCTTGCGCAGTAGCAAACAACGTAAACAGGAATCATATGATGGTCAAGTTATAACGTCTGGTAGAACTAGATCAAAAAGTGCAGGGGATGTAGCTGATGGTATAACCTCTGATATACTACAACGGGAAACAAGAAGCACCAGGTCGAGAAGAGTATCAGCAAAAAGCGAAGAGGAAGAAGTTGGGACAACAGAAGACACAGAGCCTGAACAGGAAAGAGTTCCTAGTATAAATAACCCAAAAAGTCCCAAGTTATCCGACAAAGACGAGCCGCTCAAGGAAAATAAAGTTTTGAGGGAAAATTGCTTACGAAGATCAAGGAACAGAACGGTAACATTGAATGAAGGCAAGACAATGAATGACGTGTCACCGACCAAGAAACAAAAACTTGAAGTTCCAGGAAGCGAAGCCAGGAGAAATAAACGAGGAAGTCGAAGATCTTCGGACCTGGACTCTGATAACAACCAGGGTAAAACCACAGAATTCCTTTTTAAAGGCAGCCCCAGGAGAAAGGCTTCGACGAACTCCTCAAGACGCGAGATGCGAAATGGWTTTAAATCAAGGTCGGAATGTGAAAACTCGAAATCTGATGAAGAGAATGCGGACGACAGAGTGGAGCGGTTATCGTCTCTAAGGTCCTTTAGCACGGGTAAGGAAGCGAACGCTCCTTCTTCTCCGTGTCCAAAATGTCAGATCCAACAAGAAAACAGCAATAAGAAAATATCGACAGACTCAACCGGAAGTCCTGAAAGAAAGAATAAAGAATTAAGACCGCGCAACATGCAGTCACCAAAGTCACGCAGTACCCACTCACCGAGGTCACGCAATATGCCGTCGCCGAGGTCACGCAGCCGGTTGTTAAGGTATTCTCCCACACGAAGCTGTAGTAGTWTAATAGCGTCTGTCTGTCATGCTACGTCCGTTATTTAGAGTAACGCAACACTGGATAAGTGGAAAAGAACTTATTCGAAGAGCTGTAGCATTGAGCTGCGCATGCTCGAGGGACAGTGGTTGAAATGTTGAGAACTTGTTTGGGAAATGAATTAACGGTTGTTGCGTTTCAAAGTTGCTGCCGTCCCACAGGCAGCCCAGGATGAAAGATCGCAGAACACGTCAATAGGTTATGAAAAATTGGTAGTTAGGCTATTAGGCATGGCTTCTTAGAAGTCCTAACGTATTRGCCTTTTTAAGGTTGAGGACGGGTCGAGTTGGTATAGACTTCCAAATTACCGCTGTGTTTCTTGATTACAGACTCATTTGCACAGGGTTAGCCTCGAGTTTGTGCAGAATATTCACGTGTTCCAGTCAAGGTCCGTCGAGTTTCAAAATGTTCGTATTGTTGAAGCTGTGCATTCTTTACCGTTGGTATTTGTGAATATTTAAACACTGATTCGAGGCTAACCCTGTGCAAATGAGTCTGTAATCAAGGAACACAGCGGTAATTTGGAATTCGAAACTGGTCTRTTGCAGCGCATTGTGGCCTGTTTTTTGGGGACATATTTCTAAGATGGCGTACAGCCCCACAATGCACTGCAATGGCAACTCGACCCAGTATTTTTTCAACCTCAGAATGACTAATAAAGAAAGGGCCCTAACAAATGGCCTGACATTGGTTGGGTCAAATGATCAACGTTGGTATGTRCTTTTTGATGTTGGATGAATGTTGGCTCTCTTGTCATGCCGGTCTTTCGCGACACAACAAGGTGCCAACGCTCTSCCAACAAATATTAGGTCACTGAATGCTGGGCCGTTTAGAGTGGTTTTCATAAACCCATGAAACAAAGTGTACTACTCCAGAGTGTAATAGTCGGATACACATTATAGAAAACAAAAGAATTAGAGTAAAGTAGCTACAATGCTAACTGATATGCTAAAGTGTATTTCACGGGTTTATAAAAAAACCACATTAAACAGGGCCCTTACCATATCACTGTAATAGAAAGAGACCATTTTACCCATCCTCTAGTTATTAGTTGTTTTTTTTTTGGTTAATAAGTGTATTTCCATATAACATATAAAGATTTGCCCACAATTCTCAAAGAACGAGCTAGGAATGTCAAGGTTGATTAGGTTTGTGGATTACTAGGTTAGGAAGGTTTATTATGTGTTAATAAAGTAATGGTTTTTGTATTAATATTGTATTGCTTCTTTTTTGGGGCCTGAAAGTTTGGG